CCCATTGATAGTAGAAAAAGTAAATGTGAAAACTTTTTAAAGGTATACTTAATAATCATTATTGGATCGCTATATGGAATGGATCTATATGGAAATCCCGCTTTATATGAGCAACAGTAAGGACTAGTATTAATTTGAGGCCCAATATTAGGACTTATTTATAATTTTTAATAAACCAGATTCGACGTCTATTTATCAATTGTCATTATCCATAATATGTTCTAGATTTTTATATAGTAAATTTTGTTTAAAGTTCTATTGAAAACTTTGTTCAGACCATAAAACTAGCTTAACAGCAGCTTAAATTAATAAAATCAATAAGTGATTTAAAAGGCTTTTTTTCAAAATTATCTTCGAGCTTTTAGTAAATATTCATATTAGTATTATACTTGTCAACGGTACACCTTACACTTATGCTTATATGAACTTAGAATTATATGAATGAAGTTTTTATCTCTTCAGGCCTTTGAATTTTACAAATTTCAAAAATATAAAATAAATTAATATATTCGTATTAAATTACTGTGATGACAGGTTTGTACCGACAAATTTATATTTTATTAAATTAGAGTCTAACAAAAATTTATCTTACATACTCGTAAAATCATAAAATAAAAAAAAAAATACAATTTTTATGTTTTTAAATTAAACAATAACAAACCGGCCTCTGTCATAAATTGTTATTCATTTTTTTAAGATAGGCTTTAGAATTGTTTTATATTAGCGTCATAATGTAATAAAAATATTGTTATTTTAAAAATGAATTTACACCATCATTATGGATGAATGAATTTCTTTGTCGTCTTGAAGATTTAAAATTTTTACACTATATGTTATAAAACTTTGGGTTAATCCTATTTTAAAATTGCAGGTACCTATGTATGGACGTACATAAATACATATATACTATAGGTACACACACACGTTCTGATTGGTAAATGACTTTTCGGTTAAAATTGAAATTACTTAATATTTTTTTTGATTTCTATACAATGTCTCTTTTTGCACATTTCAAATTTTTATTCATTTACTTGCTTTAGTATCAATTGATGCGTTAAATCAGCATAAAATTGCAACCACAACACAGACTCGCAATTATAAATACTAGAGCGCATTGCTTTTGACATTTAATACAAATCTGTCATACGTTAATAAGAACAAAGGATACTTCGGAATGCCGAAACAAAAATGACGGAAATTTTTGATAACCGCATGTCACATTATCCCCTGAATTTAGTGATAATTGAAAAATTCAATTCTGATGCGCATTATAAGCATCAGTTATAACTTTTGATTGACTAAAAATATTCCGCAACAACATAGAAAAACTACAAAAGAAAGCGGTAACAAATTCCATTTCATATATGCCAAATTAAGTGCTTCATTTTGTTTTATCTTGCCTTGATCACCATTAAATATCATTTTAAATTTACTAGACTATAAATTTTTCAATTAAAAACTGACTCAGTATGTTTTTTATTTCATTTTCACTATAAGATATTGATATGTTTTGCCTTCTTTTATATATATTTGGTTTTAATATCAATCACCATAAATCGTTTAACATTATAACTACAATTTGATTACAACAATTCTCTCCATTTTTTCAATATAGTACGTACATACATATGTCTATTAATAAATATACGAGGTAACACAAGCAATTTACAAGTTAGGAGTAATAAACCATTTAATGCCTCAAATGTTTCAACAAATCGAAAATGAAAAATATCTTAAATTAAAAAATTATTTTTTTTTTTGCTTTTTTTATAAAAACACCTCATATATTATGTGTATGTCTTTATATGTTTATACATATTTCGTCCCTCAATATACATATAATGTTATAAGACCCGATACTCCAATAAATTCAAAGAGATATAAATGAGTTCAGAAACTATTCAAAATAGAAAAACAAAATAGAAAGAAAAAAACGAAATGATAAAATCAACAATATTTCAATTGACGGGATCAAAGTAAAATCTACCGCTGAGCGCAATCATCAAACTAGCCATATAAAATCCCATCTATTTAATGTATTTTATGTTTGTGCCGTAATAATATGTTTGTATTTACAAGTACCAGTACGCAAACAGCAAAACAATTTCATATTACTTTTTGTTTCTCAAATAAATTCGAGTACTTTTTGAAATGATTTCAGTATGAAGTTCTTATTCGTTTCATTTTGTAGTCATTTTGGTTTCTCTCATCTCATAACTATTTGGTATCTTAATATTCTTTAATATAGTCTACACACCAGATAATACTATAATTATAGATGTACAATAATACATATTATGTATGTACATCGGTAAATTTCAAATTTGTTTGCTTCACTGCGCAATGAGCGACGAGGTCATAAATATATTACGAAAATTATTAAATTGTATCGTCATACAACAATTGCAATATTAGTGTACATGATTACATAAATATAAATATACAAATATATATGTATATATACAACCAAAAATAAACTTTTTTTACCTGTAATGCAACCTTTAAAAAGATACCCCTTCAAATTATGTACGTATCTACCTACTTAACTTCTGATATTAACAGGTGACAAAATTTCACATTTGTTCTCACATGTAAAATGTAAATTGAGAAAATTTAAAATTTGAATAGGTATTAGAACCTACCTACCGCAATCAGACCTAATCCAACAGAAAACATAATGAAGAAGAACGGTCCTATTACTTTTGTAACACATCCAAATATATGTTGAGGAAGAAAACTTAAACTTCCCTTTATAGGCCAACTATTCTTCACTTAATTTATTTGGAAGTGTATAATTTTGACCTCAAAGAGAAAAAAGAAACGATCAATTAAATTACATTTCGCTCCTTTGTAATCTTTTTTCGACCGTTACTGTTATAATTCCCCTAAAAACCCTATTCCTCGAATCTTTCTGTTTGAATATCATTAATTACACATTGCCTTCTAGAACTGCAAGTGATGTGAGATTGTGTGAACCGGACATTCCACACAGAAAGAAAACCAGATTCCGTCTAATATAAAGCTTTTTTAATGAATATTTCTTATTAACTATTAATTTAGTAATTTTGGCCTTGCAAAGATTTCTATAAAGTTTTTATTAATTTCGCTGACTGGATCGTTATAGAAACCACCAAATTAAGAAGTTCATATCTAAATTTAGATCAGATTTGATTTCTTGTTGTTGTCATTATTATAACACAAATAAACGTTTAATGTAGATATATATGTATTTATTATGGATTGATGATGACGACGTAAATGGATTTCACGGTGACTTCGTTAAAATCCCAACCAAATTCATTTTTGTTTTGAGTTTATTTTAATTTTAATGTAATTCCCTATAACGGTTCTACACGCATAAATAAATACATATTTATGTATAAGTATGTATATATATGTAAATATAACTACTTACTTCAACTATTTCGTTATCTTGGATGATTGCACGCATAAATATTAATGAATTTTAGATTATAACTGTCGGTATTTTGGTATAATTTCTGCCACATTGGGATTGAAAAGATTTATTTTGCTTTTTCGAACTTTTTTTAGAAAATTTAAAAATTGATGTGTATTTTAAATTATTTTATAGAGGCACATTAATTATAATTATATTGCACTAATTTTCGATACTCACAATTTGGTTTAATGGACTTAAACTATTTTTGCGTTTTAACTGCACTGGAACTAACGTATTTTGGATAAAAAAAAAAAAAAAACTTATTATCTACTTATAACATTCTAATGATTTAATCTCAACCCGTCAAATGTTACGCGACCACTGTCTAACAATTTCTTTTTTACAAATTAGGTAGGTATCGATTTTTTCTTCAGATATTTAGCCATTTGTATCGATAACAAAGATTCGATAATATCATATGAAATTGAAATATTGACAAGTGAATATCGGTCGACGGTCACCCATTAAAAATTTGCGATTTTTCTTTTTGAAAAAGCAAATTGGTTTTTTTTTTATTTTTAAAGTATATGTTTTCCGAAAAAATTATAATTTTTAGCAAGCACATAAAAAACAAGTGAAAATATTACCTTTGCGCCAATGTCGTTACAAAACAGTTTGCAATTCGATGTCCTGAATTAGTTTCCGTCTGACCAAAATTGAGTTTTTTTGCCATACATACATACATATGTATGTATATGTATAACAACTACAAAGTTTATTAAAGATTTTCAAGGATCCAAGTACGCCTTGGATTTTTGACAAATCGCTTAGTGTGTCAAATATAAATAATTTACATACGTGTACTCAATTATTTGGTTTTGTACTATTGCTATCCGTTGTCCATCTGCTGCTAAAGTACATTTTGTATACGAAATATTAAATGGATTTCGTGTGATAATTAATGACTTTCTTTTTATTAAATGACAGAGAAAAGAATAAATCATAAAAGATGGCAGATGATAATCTCTTAATTCACTACAAGAATGATTTATTTACTGACCCGCAATATAATATTGTAGTGCATTTTATGCACACATCCTCATACATATGTATGTAAAAAATTGTATACGAGAAATATTCAAAAAAAAGTATTTATTACAATTCTTTCCTATTTCATTTCGTATGCTTATTAGCTCATATGAAATTAATCTTTTTATCTGACCACACCTGTTAAATTTTTATTCTATTACAATAAATTATTCTTGTTTAATTTTTTGAATATTAATTTAAATAATTCACCTTAAGAATAAGATATCAAATTCAAAAAGAAAAAACAAAAATTCAATCAGTTTATTATTTTAATAAATAAAAAATTATTTCGTTTACCTACCAGGGGGAATCTTAAAAAAATTAAAAATAAATGAAAGAGAAATCAATTTCTACTGTAAAATTATCAGTAAAACAGATTTTAAAAGTGACAGAATGACAAAATGATACTCAATGATTTTTCAAAAAAATAACAATATATCTTTTCTTTTTATTTTCAAATATCAAATGACTTAGACTTATTTTATATCTATTATATATGTATAAGTTGCCACTGGAGGACCAACCTACCGCTATTATTTACTCACTTTTATAATATTTTTGCTATTAAAACATATTTTTTTCATAAAATAAACTTAACTTCTTTTCAAAATTTTAATGTCAAATATTGACATATGATTAATTTACTTAAATGTCATTTTAATTTTTTTTATTTTTTGTGTAATGTCATTGTGTCCGCAATATTAATTTTCTTATACTGACTCGCCTTTTACAGTTTTTTAAACAAAAATATATGTATAATCATAACCGGAGAGAAAACCGGGAGACCATTAAATATCCTTTTTTTTCCTTGATTCTCTGTAAAAATATGTCTTATTATAATGATTTGTTTTTTCTTTGATGAAAGGAAAATTTTTTTTTAGGATATCATTTATCATTATGGTATGTGTACGCTTTATTTTTTGTTACCGTTTTATTATTATTTACGGTGATATTTTATTTGCCGAATAATGAGTTTGCATTAAATTCTAAATTATCCTCTGTTTTCCCCCGTTATTGTTGCTGATTTTTTTGTATTTGTATACCATGGGTTTTAATAATGTTTAATATTTCATCCCTCACAAAAAAAATGATATTGCAATTTTCACCTCTATTTAGTAAAGCATTGTTAATATTTACAACAAATAAAGCGTTGTAAGCGTTCCAATGAAAGAAATTGTGTTTTTTTTGTTCTGTGAAAAGAAAAGTAAAGAAAAAAAAATGTGAATTTTTTATATTTTAGTTTGGCATTATAAAAATTAAATTAATGACTTTTAACTATACAAATACAAGGTATTATTAATTATAATAGAACAAACAATAATATTTTTAATGTTTAATTTTCCAAATATGAAGTAGAAAGTAAAAAATTGCTAAGTCCTTTGGGTAATTTAAAAAAATATGATTCTTTTTTTGAATAGGTTTCTTCTTAAAATTGAGTATTTGGAGATTAGAATTTCAAGAAAATTTTCAAATCAAGTATTTTAGAGAATTTTTATGGTATTTACAAGTGAACAAGTTGAGTTAAGCGTAAAAATATGTACATACCCGCATTTTTTAAGATGGTGATATTCTTAACAAAAATTTTAAAGTACATATTACTTTGTTCTGGTGTAACCAACAGGGGAAGAATTTCAGAAACAAACTTTTTATAAAAGACTCAATGCTTCTTATTTTCTAATATATATTTAAAATAAAAAATGAGCACCAAAAAGAAGCATGGAGTTATTGAACCAAAAGACCTTTTTGCACAAAAATTCTGCATGGACTGTAGTAAATTATTTAATTTATTTATAGTACTTTAATTGTAATTTTTATAAAAAAAATTTACAACCCCAACTTTACTTTCATTATTCTGATTTGAAATTGAAAAAAATCGCTCTCTAATTTTGAATCCTGCGTCGCTTTTGTTTGGTGGACAAAATGTAGAAAAAAAAGAGACACAAAAGTATAAAAGATAATTTAATGGTCGCATATTTTGTTTTAATTACATATCTACAATATACATGCTATTTTGTTCACCGTCGTTTTGTTTTCTACATTGTTGACCATAAGTCATAACACCGTATAGAAAATACCGGTAACTAGCATTGCAAAATCAAAAAAAGGATCAAGGATTTTTGTTTGTATTATGTACCTTGTATTGTCAACTTTTTTTTTTCTTTTTTTTTTTTATTATTCTATTCAGTTTGACAGTTTTATAGAATGTCGGCAACAAAATCCAATTTAAAAATGCAAAAATCATTTGCATTCTTTTTCTGTTTTCCTGGCGTGTTTTGCAAAAGCGAAGAAAACATAAAACTAAGTTTTGTTTTTCTTTTTCTTCAATGTTTTGTGAATAGAAATGTTTAATGCGTATAGACAGGAATCCATAAATTAACCTACAAGCGGTACGTATGAATGTATGTTTTTATACGTACATAGTTTATTTTAGATTCACAAAACATTATAAAAGAACTATAATAAAAAAAAAAAAAAAAAGAGGAATAAGTGAAAAGGACCCTATCCTATTAAAATGTTCTATACTCTTGACTTGTAAATATCCTGCTATTTTCCAAATCTATTTAATATTTTTTGGTCAAATTTTGCTGTGATTAATGACTTTTGAGGGTTTTACATTTTTTTTCTACTATTTTTATTTCGGTGTGTTCTAGACTATTGAAAAAGATGTTCCAAATAAAAAGTTAATGTATAGGATTTTTAGTATTTTTTGCTGAAAAAATTTTTGAAATTGCAAATAACAACGACAACCCAAAACACAAAAAAATAAAAAGTAAAAGAAAACAAAATGTTTAAACCTAAAATTGACATTTATTAAATAAAAGTCCTTGTAATTAGATAAATAGATGTCCTGTGATGAGAAGTACATAAATTAACATTACAATTCACTTTAATTTTTTGCGTTTTTGTTTTACAGAAATTACTTCTAAATCATTCAAGACAGTTTTTTAAAAGCAGCTGGAAGGAAGAAAGTTTTTTTTTTTAATTTACGATCGAATTGTCATGGAAGGTTAAGTGGTTTATTAGTAAATTAAAAAAAGAAATGAAAATATTTTTCCAACCATTAAAATCTTAAGGGCTAATTACGGACTATTTAAATTTTGTAATATTGGTTATTGTTAATTAAAAGTAATTTATAAATTTTTAAATAGTTAAAAACTATAATGCGTTTTCTGACTAAACTATAAATGCTTCGTATACAAAACTCTGAAGAAAAATTAAGATTTTCCTAAATTATTAAAATCGGCCATGTCTTAAAGAAGATGATTTTTAAAGGAATTAATAAAAAGGAAAAAATTATCCCAGAATTTCAGTAAAATTAAATGTGGTCTAAGTTGTTAGCATTTCTTTTTTAGTCAAAAGAAAAAAAACAAATAAAAAATATACATAGGAGAACTACTTACTGGAATTAAAATAAAACGATTGAAAGTCCGCATGCTTCTCTTAGACTTTTGTCGAACTTTCCTACTATCCTGTCTTATATAATATCATATCACAATACTAGCGATTACATTAAAACATTTTTATATCTCTCTGATTACGACATTTTGATTAGGTTGACCTAAAACCTTTTTTGATTAGGTTGATCAATAGTCCCGTTTTCCAGTCTTTGAAGATTTTTTCGTCTTGCTATATTTTTTCTGTTAATGATTTATTGTATTTCTATTATTGTTTACAGTGCATTGGCTGTTGTAATCTTTCCTGCTTTAAACAGTTCAGGTGGAATATCTGACTTTTCTAATTACGTCCACTATTTCTTTTATATTTGGTGCCCCTCGTCAATTGTTGTCTTATCTCTAATGTATAATTCTTGGTTTCAAATTCAGTATCTCGCCAATTGTTTTTGAATTGATATAAGTAGACTGCCAAACTTTTTCCTTACCGGTCTTAATTTGCAGTTCTTAATTTGTAGTTCTTGCTGAAAAGAATATCAATTTTGTTATTGTAAAATTTTCTCTTTTCACCTTCTGCGCCATTTTTTTTAATTCTTCTCAACATACTACCTGATTTCTCATAAGTGTCAAGCTTTCTCATCCTGCTTCCATTCGTGCTCCTTTTAGCAGCTTATGTCCGCAGTTAGGAGTAAGTGATCATTGCAAATGTCCGTAGCTTCACACCCATTATTGATTTTACCTATCTTCTAACTTTACACGTACAAAATGTAAAGAGTCTTTTCAAAATGAAAAAATTTTAAAAAATTTATTTCCAGTCTTTAATAAGTTGCATGGCATGCAATGATTTTGATTTTTTTTCCAAATGTCCGTTTATTAATCCTTTATAGAGCATAATTGCGTTAAAATAATTTTTCTAATGAGGAAACCACAAAAGAAAAGGGACAAAAACTTTTCAAAATTAGTTTTTTTAATCTAATATTACGCAAAAAAATAAAATGCAGCTACAATTGTTAAATTTAATACTTTACGTGGTAGCCCGTAGATTTGGAACAGCCCAAAGTCATCGTTTCACAGAAGTAGTCAATTATTTTCCATATCAATTTAATCCGAAATATGAATATGAGTAAATATATTAGTTTTTATGAAAAATAAAGTGAATTTTACTCGCACACTCTTATTTAGCAAGTAGAACACCGAAATATACAATAAGTTCTATATGTTTTCTACAAATTTCAAAATAGCTAACATAAAAACACATTTATTTAAATCATTTTTAATGTTTTTACAAAATTCTTTTAATTTAAAAGTGCATTATATAACGACATAAAAAACTCCGATTACCTCAAATAATTTTAGAGTCAAAATGAAATTAAAATGAGAATTTTTCAGATTTTTTTGTCAAAGCAACGTTTGTATGTAATTAAACTCTTTAAAATTCACTTTTTATTTTCTTTATACTTACATATTTTAAAATCTAAATTGGAAAAACCACTTAAATGTTTACAATGCCAGGCTTTTTAAACGCAAGTGCACATCAAAGAATTTTTTTATTTTTACACTTTGCGATTTGAGTGACATCTAGGCTATTCAGTTCATTTTATTTAGATTTTCATTTTTCTTACTTTTTACAACACTCTTTATATAATTTTTACACTTTTTTCACTTTATTTTTGTGTTAGTGTTTTTTAAATGAAAAAGGCAAATAAAAAACCCACAAGTAGAATTGGGGATTTAAAAATTCATTCAGTTTCACTAGATTTTCTTTTCGGCATTATTTTTATATTATGTAAGTAACATTGTTAGACCTCCTTCCACGCTTCTATGCTTTCCACTTGGTTTTATATTTTGCTGTTTTCATATTTTTGGTCTCCAGTACAGTGTTGACTTACTGTTTATTATGTTCTTTATGGATGGAATAAAATGATAGAGAAAATAAGAAACAGAATGAAAAATGTCTAAAAATTGTGATGTCAGATTCTTTATTTTCTTTTCTATTTCTAGATTTTTTATGTTCCGTAATGCTTTCCTGTAATTGCAATGCACTTTTTCATTTATTTGCAGTTTCTTTTTACCGACCATTTTGCATACAATAAGGACGGTTATGTGATGGCACTAAATTTCGGATGTCGAGGTTTTTGGTCGGAACGCCCTTCTCTATGATAGGGAAGCCTGAATAAACTATTGTTAGATAGGTGACAATCTGTCTGCACGCGTGTATCTCAAGTTCGGCTGAACCAACTTTGATGAAATTTTTCATTATAATTGATCTTGGCTGGGGTACGGATTGCAATTTTGCATTATAATTGATCTTGGCTGTGGTTTTGAGGTTTATCGGGTCTCTGGAACTGAACTTTTTTGCGAGCCGATTTTACATTTTTGCGCATGTAAGAAGAAATAATCAACAAGTTTCTTTGAAATTTAATACTTAAATTCGGGGTGTTAAAACAATGAACCTATAAATTTTTTTGAAAAATCGGGGCTCAGAAATCGAAGTGAGGGTCGATTTTATATTTTTTACCATGTCCTCGAAGCCAATTGATAGAATTTTTTAAAATATTTGAGTTCTGGTTGTAGCCGAAGCTAACTGGCAAACTGCTCTGAAGGGAATCCAGATGACACAAAGCGAAACTCTACTAAAAGCCAAATTTACATTTTTCCAGGTACGTTAACTAAAAGCTTACTATCGTCCTTAAAAAAGAAGTATTAAAGTAGTATTTTCATAATCTTCTGTTACACTTTCGCTAAACTAGAAAATAAACATTGCGCTCGGTTATGTGCTGATCACATCAGATTTTTTATGCTGAGTTTTGTTCTACTGCGTTGAGTTAAACTAAAATAAAAAATTTAATGAAACATTTTAGACAGAATAAATTTTGTACAGTTTGTTTATGTTGGCAAAAAAGTTTTATGTTTTTTTTTCTGTGTTGCTTCGCTTATTGCAAGCTAAAACTGTTCAGTATTTTTCTCTTTCTTTTTTCTTGTTGGTTATTTCTAATGGGTTAACCTATAATACCTCTGACATCACAGTTTTATGGTAATCAACTGTCTAAAGTGTCCATCAATCATGTCCAGCTCCAAGTTAACTATACAGATGGATTCAAAATGAAAGAATCTTTAAATATTTACAAGACTAAAAGTCTGATATTTTTTTCTTTTGATTGAGTATAAAACGGAAATGAATGGCATCCATTTGTTTTCTTTTGTTTTTTTGCTTTGATGTGCTAGGATTTATAAAATATTTCATTTTTTTTTATTCATAGTTTAAATTTTCCATAAACGTGTACCTACTGCTTTTTTTTTTGTTTAAATACATAATTAATTAGGAAAATAAATGGTAAAAAACTGGTAACTAACAATGAACATCTTTAAAGTTTTATATGAAATTGGATGGTATTTAATTGCAACTGCAGTATCATTGTTTCACAAATGGATTAAAACACAAAAACCTAATCTCATAATGTTGTTTTGGAAAAAATTTTAAAGCGCATATAAAAGTACTGACTTGAATCAATAGCAAAGCAGTTAAGCTGTGTAAAAGGAGCCTGGTTCTAACTTTCTGAAAAAATTTTATAGCCAAAGAATAGTGAAATGGTCTTAATTTATCCCACAAGTATGAAATAGACGGAAAAATAAAAAGATTGAGCGATCCTTCACACTTTGAAAAACGACATATTCGATCACCTTTCATAATTACTTACAATACATAAAAACGAATTTTTTTACATATTAATAAATTTCAGGCTTAGTTCAATGGGTTGGATAAAATTGTCAAATTGTGCTCAAATAGTATCGAAAATTTTAACTATTGAAATATAACAATATTTTTTTTGGACCTACACGTAGTCATGTTTTTTGGATATTTTAGACAAATATAATATAAATATGAATTTCGAGAAAAATCCTACCGAAATTTTATATTATTCCGAAATATCTTCAAATACAAGATTTCAATAAACAAAAAAAAAATATTTTTAACTGAGTAATTTAAGAATTAAAAAAAAATTTGGGACATAAATTAAATCACAAACATTTATACTTTTACTTTAATTTGAGCCAAAAATAAAAATTTCATAAAATAAATGCAAAACAATGGTAATAGTGTGAAAATAAAAACACCAAAAACACTATAATACTTAGACATAAGAATATCTGTATGTTTGTTTGTTGTTTTATAATAATTCAGTATATTCTCAAATAAAAATAGGTAAGCAAGCATAATGTACACACAGAGTATACGAGTGTGACGGTGTGCTTTGAATGAAAATTAATGACATGCAATCAATTTTGTAAGTCGACGTTATTTGTTATGTTGATGGCTCCCCCTTGATCATTTGTCAAAACCGAAAAAGAAAAATTATTTTGCTTTTCTTTTCTTTTTTACTTTTGTTTTTATTAAATTGAAGTTTGTATTGTGGGTGGTAAGAAAAGAGTGGTAAATATTTCCTCTTTCTTTTTCTTGTTATTTTATTCCTTGCTTTTACATTTAAATTTGAAGGTAAGATTAAGTGTGAAAGGTTGAAAGAAAAATTTTTGTTTATTCCTTTTCCTTTTTTTTTTATAAATAGTTTTGGCGAAAAATATTTTAATGCCAAAATAAAATTATGATAAAGAACAACTTCTTTATGTTTTATTACTAGTACTGTACGTATATATGGGTTTGTGTAAGATTGTGCCAGAAAATTTATTTCGTGGATAATTTAGAAAATGAAATGTATGCAAAAATTTATTAAGATTGCAAGGATCTTGGTAAGTGTGGTTGTAGTGAAAAGAAATATATGGTATTCAAAGAGTTCATGAATTAAAGAAAATTTAAAGAAAAAAATTCAGTTAGCGTAAAATTTTTGATGTGGGAACTAATGAAGAAATATAAAAATTAATTGCTATTTTTCAAAATGGAAAAATTTATTAAAAAAAATCAAAAGTTCTCAAATCGATATAACAGAGTATATATTAGGATATAGCAAAATATTCTGCAATAGTTAATTAGATCCCGGTTGAAAAGATGCGACTTTCACACACAGCTGATTTGCTTAAAATTTATTGACAAATTTTTACAGAAAGTCACGTATTTTACCTAGGCGTAAGTATAGTATTTTGAGCAAATGAAGACCGAGTAATATAAAGACTAACGTCAGTATTAACATTCAGCGATCGAAACTTCTTGGTTATCCTCTTATGATCACAAACTGAAAATAATACCGTTAGGTTTATCAAAAAATTTCTCATACGACATACAAAAAAATTAATAACAAAATGGCAATAACTATTAAATCCAACCAGTTTACCTTAAAAAAGCTGTCCTGTAATCGTTGCATTCAAAATGATGTGGAGAGGTGTTTTAGCATTATTTGTTAAGTTTTCCATAAACCAATATTTCAAAATTTCTGAAGATTTGTGAATACAGTAGAGCGATAATTTATAAAACCAAATAATTGAATTAAGTTTGCCACATAATTTAATAGTTGGCTCATTGTTATAGAAATTTTTATTACAGTTGTGTATATTTTGATATTTTTTATTGTATTATAAAAAATCTCGTTTTCGCCTCAATTATTTTCTGTGTTCAAATGTTTTTTAACTTAAAAGACTTCATAATTAAATTCCAAAATATATAACCGTCAACTTAAAGTCTCGCATGAAACATTGTGATGTTATAAGTTATCAAAGTAATAGCGATTAAGTGAAAATTTCACATTTCTTGCCTTATATAACGACATTGTATAGTGTTGCACTTTCAACCTTAAAATTTGGTTTTACTTCTTTCCCTTCTTTCTTACACTTCTGCAAAAATCAAATAACAACCTGAAAATGAAAAAAAAAAAATTAAACTGGATGAAACTAACATTTAAAATACACAAGTAGAAGAAAATGTGATTTTTACATAAATTAAAATATATATATTTTTTTTCAAACAGAAGAATTAAGAGATAATAAATCTCAGTTTGTATTACAAATCTTAACTCGAAATGGTCTCTTGTCGAACTTTACCTATACAATTATTATGCTTAAAAATTGCATAATAAACGCTGCCATACGCGCTTTATTTGCTGGTAGCTATTTGGCATTAGTACAAAAACTTAATAGTTTTATAGTATAGTATAGTAGGAGATCAATTTAACGTACAACAAGGATTTATTATGAATAAGAAAAAATAAAAGAACCAAAAACGAAAAAAAGTGTTTATTTTACATAAGACCATTAGGAGGCCCCAAGAACCTGTGGATTTCTCATTTTATGTTCTTTTCGTGTCTCATGTCTCTTTTAATTCTGATGATTTTATAATAAAGTCACTTTGCATAAAATCACCATGAGTTGAGAATCTTTATTTTTTTCATTATTTGCCTGTTTTTTTTTTGCTGTTTTAAATTGTCTGTCGCTGATTAACTACAGTATTTAAAAAAAAAAAACACGAAAAAGTTAGAGGAGCGGTTGTTTTCTTGTTTCTTCTCAAAGAAACTCATGAGCGGTTAAACATCAAACAAATAAAAATTTTTTTTTCTTCAAAACAACAATTTTTCTGTTGTCTTTATCTGTCTTCTTTCATAATAAGTAGTGGTAGTGATGTGCAACACCATGAAAATTAAATAGTTGCGCGCTAAATTAACATCAAAAAGGTAGAGAATGTTTTTTTTTTCTTTTTATTTCAGAAAATCTATTAAAAAATGTAAGCAAAGAATATTTAAATAAAAATCTTTTAAATTACAATGTGACATAGATTAAGTGACTATAGTAGCTAAATATTTTAAATGTTGATTTTTGTTTCTTTTTTTACATTACAACCAACATTCTTAATGGGAATGTCTAAAAAATAAACTTCATTCGTAATGTATAAGCAAATTCTTTTTAGAAATCTAATGAAATGGTTATTAAATTTATAAAACAAACTAATTTTTAAATTAGAGTTATTCAAACTAAAATGTTGTGTCATACTAAATGTCATACCACGCTATGAGCAAAGGGATAAAACACAGAAGATTAATCACGGTGTAAACAGAAATTCTTTGAACCGAAACAACACCTCGGTTAGAAAAAAGCTACTCAATAACAACTGCAGAACGAAGAACGTACGTTTTCCAGAATACTTAAAATTGCCAAGATCAACTCTAAATTTCTTTTCAGCGCCCTTTGTTTTCATTCCATTCATTCTTTCTTATAACATCATAACATTATGTACGTACATGTGTACACTTAAAGAATACGATGTACAAATGAATTTGAATTGATAATTAAAAATGGAAGATTAACGATTTAATCATTAAAGACATTAGTAACAAATTTTTTTTTTATTTTTCTAAATTTATAACAAAACGGACCAAAATAAAATTAAAATGTTGAAATTTTAAATTTATTTCACGTTTACTTAGTTTTTTTTATTAATGTGTAAAATGAGAGTTTTTTTTCTTGCTCCTAATATTTTAAATAAAAAGATAGGTGCCAGAATGATTTTTGGAAAACTACATGAACTACATGAGTTTCTAAGGCATCATTTAAACCAAAATTGTTGAATAACTGCTGTAAGCTTATTAAACAGCATAGCAATCATTTGAAAATTTATGAGAATTTCACTTGAATTTTTTGTGATCATTCGCCTCTTGTTCGCGCAATATCGAAAAATTAAAAAAACAATTGTCAGCTTTTGGGATTCTAGACTTTATTATGAATGCAAAATTTTCATATGTTGTGATTTTAAATTACAGCAAAGACCAAATAGTTCTTGTGCAAAGTTAAATTGCTCTCAAACCTATGACTCTATCAAGCCAAAAGTTTATCATATTCAAATTCACCTTATTCACCTAATGATTGTAAAATTCGGGACCGTAAATAACAATAAAACTGTTAAATTATGACTTCATTAACAGAAAATTAACCATTAAAATGTCATTTCATTAGCAGACATAGAAAATACATTTTGGTAAATTTTATTAACAATAACAATAAAAGTTATTTCTGGAAAGGATCATACGATAGAATATTTTTTGTTTTGTCGGCATTTTATTTCTTTGATCTATAAGGTGATCGCGGATTCAAGGTACACAAAAAAACATAAACTAATACAATGCCGAAAATTAAGGTTCTCATAAAAAATTATCGTTGTGATTTTTATTTGTTTTACCCTTTTAAAAATTTTTATTTGTTGTTTTTTTTTTTATAGTAGGCTTCTAAATTATCGGTAGATATTCATAATCAGTGAATTCACTGATTTAGTACAGTTCTTTTTAACTCCTTTTATTTTATTTGAGGATAAAGAATTTGAAAGGAAAAATATTTGAATCTCAGATTCTTCAAATTTAAAATTTATTACCCTATTATTCTATCAGATTATTTATCTTTCTTACATAAAGTGCCCGTCCAGATTTTTATTCTTACAATTAATAAATATAAAGAATATTAGAATAAAGACCACGTTAAAAACCTTAAAAATTCAAATTAATTACAATTTAAAAAGTAAGTTTTATACTTTGTTGTAATTAGGTATAAATATTTTGACGCCTGGAAGATTTTATTACGTGGATTTAAGACTAAATTCGAGTCTTTGTACATTCATCTGTACAGTGATTTGGGCTTATGTAAACTTAAAATTTTTGTAAGTTTAGAAGTTAACAGAACATAAATTACTTGCGTCTTTAAACACTTAACTTTGTAAACTCTTTAAACACTTAAATAAATCTTCTGATGATCAAATTTCCGGATTCCGTATAAGTTTGAAAGTTAGTTCGCAGTCTCCTACTTCCTTAATCCATTTTACTTGCATTGCAATCATGCACAAAAATTTTTTAATGATTTTTTCATCATCAACTTTATCGTAAGCTAGGCAAAACTTTTTTACGGTCTATTATTTCTCATTGAACGTTGTGAATGTTAGATTTTGAATTTCACTCAAAAGACGGTACCATTTTTATTCAAAAACCAGTTTTTTTTTTAATTTTTTATTGATGGCGGCTCAAATACACTTCAAATTAATTTTATTTGACTTTAATGTAAACAATGAAAGAAATAAAACCGAAAAAAAATTTTTTTTTAAGTTTTTCTATTGAAAATCAATTCAAATTCCTACTAACCTACTTGAGCTGATTTTTTATTGTTTTACTATGTATGTAAATCTTTAGTCAATGTTTTTTTTATGACAGTTATTGTGTTTCAGTTTTGGTGAATCACCATTTTACAACTTAAAATTGAATGATCGTATATTCTAGTCAAAACATTTGAATTTAGGAATAGGAAATTATAATCCTTGTTATAGAGAAATTTTTTTGTGTACACTGAAAGAAAGACCGGTGTCTCCTTTTAGTAAACATTATTAAAAACGAAATTCAAATTTTTTAAGTTTCTTTGTTGTTTAGACGCACTAAAAAGAATGTCAAATACTTTTTGAATAGGCATAATTATTGCTTTTTTTTCTGCAAAAACCAAAAAAATTACAACTAATTCTATGTCAATTCAAAAAAGAAGTTCAATGTCAAATGGAATGACTTTAAACTTTGAAAAAATGTTTTTTCTTTGTCGTCCAAATCGTCATTGTTCTTACGTGTATGCGAATTGGACCTTAAAAAGAAAAGAATTAAAATAAAATTTTTGCAAAAATATTAATATTTTGGTGACAGTTTCATATTGTTTGTTTTCCTTTTTTTCTTTTTAAAAATTTTCTTAATAGTCGGCTTTACTTTATAAGATTATTTTTTGGTTGGTGAAAACCAGTAGATTTTTGCGGTAGCTATTTATTTATATTTATTGAAACCAGAGAAAATAAATCTTTCAAATTCCAGTTAAAAAAATCAAAAATCCAAAACAAAAAATTAATAAGTGCATAAAGCGAACACAGCAACCTTCTCTCTATAGTTATTATTTTTTATTTAAAAAAGAATTTATTTGGAAATTTTAAAATTTCATGTGTTAGAAAGGAACGTTACTAAATATAGTGAAAAAATTACTTTGCTACGTTATGTACTACAACAATTGTTTCTTTCATAAAATAAAACATTAAAATTTGCACTTTATAAATTATGATGATCAAAATGTGAAAGATAAATTTGCAATATTTTAGCTTAGTTGCTATTGCTTAAAACCATAAAATTTAGCTTAGATAGTTTAGATTCCTATGGTTATAACATATTACTTGGCATCCTAAAATTGAAAAATTTTAAAATTTAATATAAATACGTAACTTGCTATTTGCTATTTATCCTCCATTTCATCACTTATGCAGCCTCTGATTTTACATATTTCATTTCATAGTACAGCCTACACAATAACTCAAAAATAAATTGATCCAGAGTTTGGTAGATATTTAGAACAGCACTTCACAAGTCATATTTCTTCTTGCTTGTAAATTATCCTTAAAAAATAATTAAGGATATAATTTATTGTGTACTTATGCTCCTTACAATATACAGTTCCCATTTTTATTTTCTTTAAGGTTCTCTTTAATAGACTATATTTTGTAATATAATTTTTGACTCGATTATAAATTTCTTTCAATATGTTAATGCAACTATGTGCATATATGTACATGACAAATTTTAATGTCACTTCAAAAATTTAAAATGATATCCTCATTAATAACATTTCATATAATATTGTATGAAGAACTTAATCCATAAAACGGAGAAATATTTTAAGTGTATGTGATGTCTTAAGTATCAAAATTATGCATATTCAGGATAATGTTGTTTTCATATGAGCAACCAATACGCACATATCCCAGTCTGTGTACCTAAAACGGAAGAAATAAATATTAAGTGACGATGCAAGAATATAATATGAAAGAAAAAAAAACTTAAGTAGATCCGTAATTAATAGGTCATATAAAATAAACAAAGAATTTATTTTGAAGTATTGTTTGGCTCATTTTCATGTATACGAAAAAAAAAAATAAGAAAATACATTGAAAATTGTTTTAAGTGACACTTTAAAATTTATACCTACTCGTGTTACATGGATATGAGCAAGACAATTAAAAAGAAATATTTCATTTAGGAAGGACAGAAAGTTCAGTCATCTAATTTTAATTTTTGAAAATATTTAGGCAGTAATATTCTTGTGAACTATTAATGTAGAACTAGAAAAGAACATTAAGAAAACCTATACTAAAATATATTGAATATGTTGTAAACGAAATCTGAACGAAACTTGTTTAAACTCAAACGATTGAAATATTTTAACTTTGGTTTGTTTTAGCCATCTTTAATGAAACATTTATTTCATAATTCTACATTTTCTAAATACTTTTATTAAAATTTTTTATTTCAACTGTCCAAACTTCTTTCATCAAAATATCTACATAATTAAGTGTCACATAAACTTTCATTTAGTGCCATCATTAAAACATCTAAAAATCAAAAATCTTTTAAGATATGCGAGATTTTATGACGTTTACTTTATAAGAAAAAGCTGTCAACATATTTATAATAATCTATGTCGTGTTCTAATGATATTCCTGGTGCTGCTGTAATTGTCAACTTCACATAAATTATTTAAATAATTAAATTACAAAACTCTTACTTCATATACAAAAATATAAACAAAGAGCAGAAACAATGACAGTAATAAAAAAAAAAGATATAAATTTATTTCTTAGATAATATTATTAAGGTGGTAATAAATTTCATTGACATTTTTCACCTTAAAATATGCGCTCTATACGTATGTATGTCCCTGTATATGTAGATACAAAAAAATTTATTTCTTCGCATCGCATCGTGTACATTTGTCTCTTTTATTAAAAAGAGTGTGTTTTATGCACTGTGATATTACTTTGCCCCATGACAATAATTCCAACCTTTTAATTTCCTTCTTAAGTTTTCAAGAAAAAACCCAAAAGTAAATAAATCCATAACATGACAACTTGAAAATTTATTCCCGTTGGAATGAAAATATTTATTATTATTGTTTTTTTTCTTTTTAATACCTTATTAAGGTCTATTGCGATCGCTAGTTATTAAAAATTTAAGTATAAAATGTAATATTGTATTGTAATATTGCTCTTATCAAATTTTGCCATGGCTCTAAAGATAGCGAATTAAAGCGAATATTTTTAATCTTAAAATTGAGATTTCAGTTGTTATTCTAAAGCATTACAGATTTAGAGAACAATATACTTGAATTATGTAAGTTTAAGACAGTCGTTTAAATATGCTATTTAATAATAACAATTAAAAGGAAAAAAAACACGAACGTCCAACAATAAGTCAAAAAAAAATCTATCGCCGACCCTCTACAAAACACTATAATACCTTATTAGAATTATCCGCCATAAAGATCCCTTACAGGCTTCACTTTAAACAGCTATGAATTTCGAAATTTCGTGTCCGACTGTTCCATATTTCTGAAAAGACTACATATATGTTTTTATAGCATTTTTGACCTATACCAATAATAACGAAAAATATTTCCAAAAACAAAACTCTTAGAAAATATTGCTTTTAGGTTTTTTAAAAACAACAACTTCTATGCGGTTATTGTAATTAACTTAATCTTAGTATTATCGTTTATTATAAAAATTGCACATTTTCCATAATATATTTATTTTTGGAAATCTATTGTTTGAATAGAAATGTACACATCATTATGATAATGAAAAATGTATAATATATCTATAAAAAGCAGGTAAACATCCTTATTGATTTAATATTAAATTACCTACAACAGGATTATAAAGAAAGATTACAAAAAGGAACACACCGGGAGTGAAAAAAAAAGGAAACCTAATAACAAAATAATCAATATAGTAAATCCGATCTTTTCTTTATTAATAAAATGTATTTGTCACCTTTGTTGTTTTTAAGGCACAAAAGTCCTTAAAGAATTTTAGAAAAACAGAAAAAAAAAAACATGTTTAGACTGGTGTTATGTGTTGGTTATTCTTCTTTAAGAAAATATGGACTTACAATGATTGTTGGCATGAAATTGTTTTATATTTTAAATTGATTATAAAAATAAACTGATTCTAGGAACCAACTCTATAAAACCTCACAAAACTATGAATTTAAGGAATCGAAAGAATTTCAGTCGCTATCAAGAAATAAAGTCGCTATTTCTGAAGTTTATAATTTCGAAATTAAAAGACTCAAACAAGACTCTGAGACGCAAGTGTGAACACTACTTAATAATCTAAAAATTTCTATAATCTTTTAGACATATTATCTTTTCTTCATCACCAATCAATTATTAACAGAAATCTTTGGGAAAACAACCTCATTTATTTTGTGTGTATGTGCTTAAATACGGTATTCAATAACATAATAGAACCTTTTTATTTTTTACTCATCTGTCAAAATTTGAAAAATAAAACTTTTTTTTTTTTTGAATGGAATTTTTAATATTTATTAGTAAGTGGAGGTATTAATATTGTGATGTTAAGAGCCATCATAAATGTATTTATTAGTTTTATTTGTATTCAAAGAATTGTCACAATTTTGATTGTCGGCTCAAATCCGGATAAGTATATGTATATGAATATTTTGGTATGAAAATTTTATTTTTGCTTAATTGCTTAATACGATCACACAGTTGTATATATGTACATATGTATACTTTAATGGGCTCAGACAGAAACGCAATTTTAATTTTGCAACTGTTTGATTGCTTATTTATATTCGATTCAAGGGCGCACACATACAACTGTGAGATCGCATGCAATTAAGCAATCAAATAAGATTGAAATTTTTTACAAACTGATTGCAATTTTTAATTAATGTAATCGATTTGCATTGACGCAATAGTTTAGTTGCATTTACAATTGCGCACAACTATTTTACAATAGCATTAATTTGCAAAACTTAAAATTGCATGTCTTCCTGAGCCTTAAACCCATGAAATACAAATAAGCAATCAAACATTTGCTACTAAAAATTACATGTTACCCCTAATTTAAATATTAAAATATATAAATATTTACACTTAAAAAAATTTATTTGCTTTGGCTATGAAACCTTCCATGTCGATCTCTAAGAACTTTTATTTCCAATAAATTTGGTTGGTTGGTTAAATTTTAAGTATAAATTTTCGAAGAATAAAAAAAATTACTAATGTATTCAAACATATTTTGCTCGTCCATTAGCAAACAAAAAAAGGATGAAAATAAAATAGTAAGTATGAACGCGCACATGTACATACGTATATATATTTTATTTTATTTTTTCAATTCATCATTTAAGTTCTGCGACCCATTGAATTCTGCTTTCATTTTTTAATAAATAATCCTCATTTGTATTTTTTTTTTTTGTTATGTGCTTTTCTGCGAGAGGACGAATATAATAAAACAAAATAATTCCGCAATATTTTTACCCAACCAACTCCATACCCCTGTCTGAATCAAACGTTCATAAATTCGAATTTCTGTATAGCAAGAGATCATTAATTTTAAAAACGAAGGAGAAAATGAAGAAGAAGCAGAAGGGAAAATATGACTTTATAAAACGCTTATAAATTTATAACAAATTTTCTCTTTTCATTTAAAATGTCCTTGTCATTTATCATTTAAATAAAACAGGAAAAGCAAAATAATCATTTGAATTTGAGTAAGAAGAAAAAAGCGAACCCATGTTTTTTTCTTCATTTTTAAATATAAACGCCTCTTCTTGCGCCTTTCTCTTTCAAAAAATTTTTTCTTTCTGCTTTGAAAGATGAGAAAAAACAAGAGAATTATTATTTATTCGTAATATTGATCTCTTTATTATATTTATAAATCTTACTGTCCCTTTTCTTTTTTTTTGTTTGTTGATGTAAGAACGTATAAAAAGACATCATTAAGGACTCTTTTGACTGCAAAAATTTATGCTACTGCATGAAATTTGGAAATAATGTTCCTCTCTTGTTTTTATTGAAATATAAATTCATTATACTTTTTATATTCAAAGTTTTTCTTCAGTTTCTTATATTTAGGGAAAATTTGGCAAAATTATACTATTTAGATTTAGTGTTGCTAGCTGCCTTTTATATTATTTTAAAATTTGTATTTCTTCGTTTTGAAAAAATTACTGACGTACTTTCGAAATCGCCTATTCAATTGAAAAATAATCATTATATCCAAAAACTTTAACCCTTAACAGCTGTTGTAAAGCTTGGTCGACCTGACATAACTCACTTTTTTCCTAATATTATTACAGCATATTAGAACAATAGCACAAATGAACGCGTTATTGCTGGAAATGAGCAAAAAGAATTGCTGAAGTCTTGTGTACTTTAAACGAAAATTTAGAACCTCAAGCGACTACAATAAAAACGATTGCTCGCATTCTCCTGACAAGTAGCTTCCGGTAACTCTAATTTCTTTTACTTTATTTTTCTCTTTTTTTTTTCTTATTCCAAAATTCTCCTTTCAATATAATTTTTGAAATGTCTTGTAAAATTAATGACCTTCCGTTTAATTTTATTGTTTTTCCAGTTTTTCTTCTGCTTTGTTTTTTTTTCTTTTCGCTAAGTTTCAATTCAGAATTCTGACATAAAAAATATACCATTTTCTCTTCCCCTCATTAATATTACAACAAAATAACAGGATGAATATTATATAATAATATTAATATAAGTAGCGTGTTTTGTATGTGTGTATATAAAATTATAAAAATATTTTAATACACAAGTGCGTGTTACAGTTTTAAAAACAAAACACAAAGTCATTATTCTTTTTTTTCGTTAAATTATAATAGAAAGAGTAAGATATAGAAAAATAAGGAATAAAAGATAATAGAGTAGTAAAGAAAAGGAAGAAAAATATCTACACAGATTAAGAGGAGACGAAACTGACAAAATTTTTTAACAAATGACTACAAAAAATGACTAAAAATGAAATATGATGTAATTAATTAGAATAATTAACGATGATATCCGTACGTTAAATAACTCAACTGAAAATGTAGACAGAATCAAACTAAAAAATTCAAGAAGGGTATTAAATAAAACAAAAAAGGACGAGAAAAGGAGGAGGTAAAAGGTAAAAATGGAATTTTGTTTTCACATTTTTCTTAGTTGATATATACGGTTACGCTTGTATTAATGATGATGAGATGGTTGAATGATAAATTTTGTTGTCATTTTGCTATCAATAATTATAAATGAAAGTAATAAACCATTTGTGTATGTAAAGAGTATGGCAACTTACTTTACTAAATCTTCATCTTCTTCTCCGGAATAAGCTTCAATCAAAGTTGAGAATTTTTCTCTGAAAAATAAATTCAATCGCACCCTCATGTAATCTAAAATTTAAATTTGTAAAAATCCAAATTATGTGAATTTTTTAATATTTGCCTGCCTGCCTGGCAATATGTCAAAAACAACACTGCAAACCTGAAATATACTGAAAATACATACAAGCAAATGAACATTAGTATATACGATAAAAGAGTTTCTTATATTATAATGTCCAAAAAAAAATTCTAATGAAAATTCATTAACAATTTTGATTAATTTGTTGGATAACTATATTCCATAATTAAATGTCATATTTATTTAACTTTTGCATGTTCTTATATAATTTACCAACACTTGGGACAAGAACGTTCAATTTTTTTTTCAAGAATTTTAACATTGAAAATGTAGAATAAATTAAGGAAATTTTGTGAAAAATGATTAATAATTGCTGTCACTTTTAATAAATTTTGATTAACTGCCAGTTTAATGAGGAATAAAAATCGTCCCTGGGGGTTTGGTGTTGAAATATGACAGCTTCGAATATAATTACACAATGAACAGTTTTTTTTTCTCGTTTTGAAAAACAAATGAAAATGAATTATAGAACAAAAAAAAATGAACTGAGGGTTGTAGGGATTGGGAATTTTTGTACATTCTTCATTGAAATTTTTATAATAAGAATGGACGCAAAGAATGATAGGGAGAAAAACAAAATTAAGTGGAAAAGAAAAGAAAAATAACAAGATGAGAAAAAAGAAATGCAAAAACAAACAAATGACTTTTCTCTGCCAGTTAAGCATTTTCTTCTGCTCATTTCTGCTTTTTATTCTTGATGATGAATGGACGAAAATTATTATATTTCGCAAAAATATGAAATGAAATGGAAAATTCTGGTTTTTTTATTTTGAAAATGAGAGAAAAAAAAAACCATTTTTCATTCGTGAATTTATTAGAATAATGAATTGCCGAAAAAAGTATAATATGTAAGTGTGTTTGTATATGTCACTTACTTTTTTTTTAAATTAAATGAATGAAAAATCTTAATTTATTATTTAAAAAATGCTACGTGATTGGAAATTTTTTGACAGCATTATGAGAAATAAGTGACGAAATGATAAACAAACGCGTATACAAGAGAATTGAATTTTCTACACAATTATAACAAGATTCATGACGGCATATTGTTGAATTAAAAAGAAAAAAAACGGTATTATTATTATTTTGATAAATTAAACCTACATATGTATGTACTTAATAAGTAAGTAATACTATATTTGTAATGCTTTATAAAAAATGGCGAAGGTAGAAATGGTTCCAAATTAATCACAATCATTGAATAAAGCAAATACACATTTTTACAAAAAATAGGTTAGAGTACAAGTTAGAAGCGAGTTTTGAGTATTCATTAAAATTCGCTGGCAATAAAATCATTAGATAATTATCATGCAAGTATCGCTCTATTGTAATTGTACCCAGAGTCATTTGCCATTAAATTTAATTACATTAAAAAAAATGCTGTTGAACCCACCAATGAGTCCTTTTGTATAAATATTTTCAAAATATTTTGGGACATCCCTACACCTCATTATTCATATTGAATTACGAAAATTCTAAACTCAAAACTTCCCATAAATCGGAGCAGAAAAAATATCTGAATTAGAAAAACCTAAAGTAGTTCAAATATTTGTGCTTTCCACATTTGTTTTAAAATTTAAACAAAAAAACAACAACACAAATCATAAATTTTCTGTACTTTTTCCAAATAGCTATAATATGAAAAAAAAATCTTTTTACAACAACAAAACAATTACGTTTTTGACATGAACTCATAAACAAACGCTTCCGCCGGAATATTTCAGTTTTCTCGTTCATTTAGAAAGAGAAAAAAAATGATGAAAACATCAAAGAAAAAGTAACGAGTAGATTGCAGGTACTGAAGAACAAGTTTATGCAAATGAAAGAGAAATTCGTTTCTTTAACTTTTTTCTATTAACAAGACAGAGGCGAATTTTTTTTTCCGCGAGAAAACTTTTAAACTTTTATCATGTTTTTGATTTTGGAAATGTACAGAAAACTTTAATATTTTTTCCAGGATAAGGTAGGATGATTTGGTAAATAAAAATTTGGTACAATACGTTGGATTAGAAAAAAGTGTCAAAAGTAACTAACAAGCGTATATTTCAACATAGCTTGTATCTGATACTTTAATTTTGGCACTACTGCTAAGAAATGAGATAGCAAAAGAAGCAGGATCTATGGAAGAAGCCATATAGAATTCCGGCAAATGTCTCGGAAACCTTCTAATAATTCACTTTTAAAACAGAAGAATTTTCCCAGGTAATTCCAAATTAAAATTCAAAACCTGACGGTTTTTTAAAGAGGCTGAGAGAACAATAATACAATTTTTTCACAAATTGAAGAGCGTTGCCACCTTAAAAAAATTGTTAAATACCCGCTACTGTAGGCGTTTTTTCAATTTACTCGCAGGTCTAGGCATTTTTTTACGGGGCATCCATAAACTTCTTAAAACTATAGATGTGCAAGCGATACTTTAGGTAGAATACTCAGCACTCATAAGAAAGCAGGTAACCATTATTCCAATTTTCGTTTAACCTATGTATGTTTGTATGTCATTTACAAATTATTTAAAAGTTTGACAACTACTGACTTAAGAAAAATAAAACAAAAAAAAAAACACAAAAGAAATTCAAGAAAATTTGCAAACAATTTGCAAATTTTTTAAGGACTTCTTTAACTTTTTTAATTTGTTGTCTTATTGCTTTTTTTCATGTTTTATTCCGTGCCGCACTTCGTAACAATTCCAATTTTTTTTTTTCTCAAATTTTTCTTTGCAAAAATTGCAATGTAAAGTGGTGAAATAAATTTTTATGTTAATATATTCAGTGAAAGAAACACAAATAAAGAGAAAAAAAAAATCCGTGAAAAAATGGAAAATTATTGAATGAAAAATTTTTCATCAAAAGTTTTTGGCAGAATTATTTTTTTTTTCTCCTTCTTATTATATTTGACATTAAAGCAATAAAAGAACTAGAAGGGAAGATAGAGAAAAAAAATAATTTTAAATAAAAATTGCAGATGATACGCTGCAGTAATCCTTTTTAATAAGTTTTGAAACAAATTAACATAAACAATTTGCAAATTTATTATCAGTATTAAAAGAACGCGAAAGCAGGAAAAGTTTAGACGAAAATTTTGAGAACTATGGTATTTAATTTTATTTTTCTAAAATTTCAAGATATACAGCGCTTTTTCAATTAAATATCAAACGATTATTTTACGTGATTTACTTTGATAATGTTGAAAAAAACCTATAAGATTGCAGGAGGAATGCTTGGTTTTAAAATTCGAAAGTTATAAATTTTTATTAACAATAATTTTTAATGTGTCTGTATATAGTTCGAACATGTTTGATTTACGTCCACACAAATTACTTTACTAAAATATGTTTCAAATGCCAGGATTAGGAAAAATAAACTGAAAAGAAAGTATCTTATGAAATTCCTAGCAAAATTATATAAGAAACAAAATATAAGAAATTATTATCAATTTGAAAGTTTAAACTCTTTGAGCATTTGAACCGGATAATAGCCAGTTTAGAAACTATGTGGTGATTTATTAAATACTAGAAACTCATTCTTCAATGATGCAACCTGAAAATTTGTTTATATGCTTTCTAAATGTGACTTTGCTATTATAAAACGATGTAGTTGACAATATTTTCCTTAGTATTTTTGTATAGCAAGTTTTTTTTTCTCTTGATCTGAGAAGTTTTTTTTGTTCTTCGTATTTTTAAGGATATTAAGATATTATTTTCCGCAATCAAATTTCCTTCCTTTTATTAAATCAACCGTTAAAATTATATATATATATATAGATTGATATATGAAAAATTGAGGATCCTTTTCAAGTAACTGTACAAACTATTGTATATTAATAATGTCCTTTTAACATGGCTTATTAAATTTCTTCAATATAGCGTTTATTTTTTTCTAATTCTATTTTCTTTTTTTATTTGATTAAAATTTGTTCTGACATTTTCAAGGACTTTTCATTTTTATGAATTCCTCTTATTATAGTTCATTCCATTACCGTTCAAGAATTCATAAGATAACAAAGTGTTGAGGAAAAATCAAGAAGCCTTATGGAGATACTCATGTATAAATATGTATGTACATAATACAATATTGGTTGTTGTTCTTTTTTGACAACAGCCACAAAATAAATTACCCTCCTTTTACCAATTATAAAGTCTTTAGTATAGTAAAAAAAAAAATTCTTACTTCTGCTCTGAGCAAATCGTTCTCTTTTACTGATAAAAATCATAATAGTGAATATTTTTTTCAAAGGGAAAAACTTGAAATAAACTTGGAAAAATAGACAATATTCTGTAAGACTATTATTGCTATACTTGGTAAAATTATGTATAATGTTTGAATTCCTGTGTATGCAATGTCTTTCTTATGACAAAAAATTTTATTTGAATATAGATAGTTTAAAAAGGACTCTATGATCGAATCTGTTTTCTTATCTTTTATTTGAAAATTAAAGAAGTACTTTTTCAATGTTTTAGCTGGCTCTTAAAATGATCCTTATGGAACAAGTAAACAAAACAAATAAAAGAAAAAATGGAAAACCAAACCGAAATTATTTAATTTATTGCGCTCTAAATGGTGTGAAAAAATTTGAGTTTGTTTTTTTTTTTATTTCTTGTCTTCTTTAGGTTGTGTGGCATTCTTTCGTTTTTCTTTTGAAAAATAAGCAAGCAAATTACATGAGTTCTTTCATGACAGGATCTCAAAGAGCAACAAAAGAATAATTTTAAGATGAGGGGTTGAATGGGTTCTTTATTATTTCTTGAAAATCTTGAAATAAGAATTTATTTTTTTTTTGCTTCATATTCTTTGTACATTTTACATGAGCAAGGCATATTTTACTTAAAATAGGGGTTATCATTTTCGATTTTTTTCTTTTTTTTTTTAATAAGGATATTTTAGGTTGTCAAAATGAAATTTGTGTGTAAAATATGGGTTAAATAGTGGTTTTTTTTACTAATTGTCAAAAGGAGGTATTAGATTGCCTTCCGAATGCCAATGAATCTAAGGAAAAAGAATATTTTTTTCAATGAAGGGGAATTACTATATTATGTACATTTTATTTTATAGGTTGCTGAAATTTTTTGTTTTCTTTTTTTATTTTGATCTTTTAATATTCAATAAGAATGTTGAAATATTATGTCATTTGGAGATGTTTTTTCAATTTATGCATGAATTGAGTTAAAAAAATGAAATTTGTTTCTGTTTTTTTTTGTTAAAAGAAAACAAAAAGAAGTTTCTGCTTGTGAATTAAGTCGTCCTTTCATATGTAAAATTGTAATGGACTGATTGAAATGATAAAATATAAAATTTCCCATGACTTTAGATGCAATTTTTATAAAATATGGTTTGGACATAATGAAATATCCTTTTTCATTTTCATAACAAAGCTAGACAACTGTTGTGAACGATTAGAAGTTGGAATTATTATGTTAATTATAAGCAATCAGTTACTTAGTTTTGAATAAAATTTCTTTTTCAGCTTCCAACATTCCTCTTTAAAAGCAGAATCCTCACAGGATTAATATTGAAAGTATTCTTCGTACAAAACTTACAACTTCTTTTTATGGATATAATATCGATATTTTCAATTTTAATTGCTTGTTTTTCAAAAGAAACATAAGAATGCCACACAACGTAAAGATGACAAGAAAAAACAAAGCAGAAACTGAAATTTTTTTACTTTTCTATTAATACTTTTTGTTACTAATCCAATCCTTTTATTTTTTTGTTCCTTGAGAATCATTTGAAGAGACAGTGAAAACATGGAAAAAGTACTATTTTAGTATTTTGAGCTCCCACACTGAATCATATCGAATGACTTCCATTCTGAGCACCTTAATTCTATTCCTTGCCATTTATGAGGTACCTTGATTTATCCAGATTTACATATACTTTTTTTACAGCATTCATAATCTGAGAAACAAAAAGAAACAATTGTATTAAATTTAACCAATAGCTTTACTATCAAAATTCTCATTAGCTCATTTTAAACTTTTCCTATAATTCATTACTATCCAATAGAAAATAACTTGTGTTAATTTTTCGTTTGAATAGGATTTCAAAACTATTCTTCTTCTATCCGAAGGAAAACAATTCTATTATTTAAAATATATGTATGTACATTCTTCATTAATTTCGCTCTGATATCCAAGAAGCAAACAACATGAAATCAAAGTATTCGTAAAAAATTCTAAAGAAATAGAAGTAATTTTCAAAATTTTTAGAAAATTTTCTTCTAAAATATTTTCAAAATATCTAAGCAATTTTATTCCTAATTCTCTATAAGCTAAAATTGAATTGCAGCGTAAGAATCTCCCTTAGAATTTTATTTTATTTTCCAAAAATTCTAAAAATTTCAGTCAGCCTGTAAATATTAAAATAAGCCATTAATTTTTTCTGGCATTCATTACCAACCATCCTTTATTACAAATCATTTTATCCTTTTCACTTTTCATTATATCAAAAAATTTAAAAGTCATCGCTAAATAATTTGTTTTTATTTAACAGTAAATATAATTATAGATGCGTGCACATTCACATATGGATGTAATGCTTATGTGGAATAAAAATTTCTTAATACAAAATATATTTAATGTAAATGTATACAAAATTCCTTCGCATAAGTTTCTGGAATGGATAAGTGAAACTGAAATTTATTAGAATAAGAGAGATGGAAGAAAAGGGAGAAAAAAGGAACTATAACAATTTATTCAATGTTTTCCCTCTGTTATTATTAGAATGTGAAACTGTTATTAATTAGAAAGAAAATATCCTCCTAACTGATATTAGTTATACTTAATGATCCTGAACTGGCATGGATCTATTTGAACTTCTGATATGTTTTTTTGGTTTGAACAAAAATTTCATTTTCGTTGTATTTTATTAATTTTTGGTCGTAAATTAAGTTATGACCATGAATATGATAATGTTCACTTGCTGCCTGGAATTCTATCTTTACATACACGGTGCGAGCATGTAGAACGTCATTAATAATGTGAATAATATTTTCTCGTACAGTTGTTTTTAGATGATGAGAGTTAAAAAAATTTTGGGACATTAATTAAAAGAAAAATTAAAATTAATGGAAAATTTATGTTTCTAATGGATAAAAGAAGAAAAAAATAACACACAAACATCATTGTTACAAAGTTGAATTTTTTTTTTAAATGGTTTTCTATTTAATCTGATATAAAACATGGCAATGGTGTAATGCGTGGCAATGCTACAAAACTTCGACGTAATTTCTGCTATTTAGAGTACTTACTAAACAATATTCAAGAGCACCGTTACATATTTTCCGTTCAGGATTGTCTTATTAGGCCAAAACAATTTTTGACAAAATTACCTGGTTGATTTAAAAATGAAATGTTTCCTTTCTTTTGTTGACATTCCTACAGATGGCCATCAAATAAAATATTGAAAAGCGATTTGATACTAAAAAATTTTATTAAACAATTGATATAGTAATTTAATTTCAATTAAATTTAATAAATTGGCGCATAAATTGTTATCATTTAAATAAGAAATCGATTAACATTATTCTAACATTCACATTTTCTTTGACCATGACTTAACTTATTAATCGTGAACTTTGTTAGGGAATAATGATTCCGAAGCCAAAGACCAGGGAAACGTAATAATTAAAAAAAGAAAAAAAAAACAAATCACTATTAAGACAATATGCACAGATAATTAATTCGGAACAGAACCGACAACATAAAGTTTTCACAGGAAAAAGAAAACAAAAAAGAAGAAACAAAATGAATGAAACAACCACCATGACAAACAGAAAAATTATCCTTTCTAATTAAGCCGGAAAGGTTCTAATTTATGAGTTTTTTTTATTACTTGTTTGGTGTAATTTTTGTTCTTTTATATAAAAAAAAAATACAATAGAAAAAATGAGAATTTCTCAAAATTTTTTTTTCATTTCTGTCCGTAAAATAATAAAGTCCGTTCCAGACCTTAAATTTTCTATTTTCAGTATTTTTTATGGGCAGAACTAATTGAAAAACATGACATGCTTCAATTTTTATTTAGTAGAATTGATGTCAAACATTGGTTACAAATTAACTTTTTTAGTTTTTTTTTTTTTTGATTTTTAGTAATGATCATTATTTCGGGTTTGTTCAAAATTTTTTTTTACGATTAATTGTTTAAAAAAATAAATAATATTTTCTGGTATCGCATAAAATTATAATAACTATAATTTGATTCAATATTTTAAAATTTTTCATTGGTTTTGAAGAATAAAATGTTGATAATTTTTTCGCAACTTCGCACTTTTGCAACGCAATTTGCAATACTAAATCATAATATCATTCGCGTTTATTATATTTGAATTTAGATTTTTTAAAATTTATCTTCGCCTTCGTCAAAAGACAGAAGCTTTCTTTTTAAGCAGTGAAAACCGTACTTCTAATCCAAAGTGGTACTAATATCATATTTACTAAAATTATATTAAATTTTGCCTAAAACTATCTCTAATGTAAAGAATATTAAAAATTTCTAATCACTCACCTTTATACATATATTATATTTTTGTTTTTCTTCAGATCAGTTTTTTTTATCGCCTTATTTTAGATTTTTTCTATAAATCTCAAGATCACAACGTGTGTGAGCACTGTAACAATAGGTTTGCGATACTTTGAATGTTCCAGCTGCACGCTAAGTTGCAAGTTCACCATAATATTCACAAAGTCTTTTTCTAAAGGTGTTATTAACTGAGCTGTTCTTTCCAATGAGTGTATTCAAATGCAGCTAAATTTGTACCTTACTGTGATATTTTTTAAAAATTCGATAATCTCGCACATTTGCTGATGCAAATTTCTTATATTTCAATTTCCGACTTCCTTTAGTTATTCGAATTTTGTAGACTTTCCAAATTATTATTTCTGAAATTTTCAAATTAAAATATAAGGTTTAAGTCTTTTAAGAATATGTATTTAGAAAAATTCGAAGTTAATGATAATTTCTTAACTTCCTATTGGACTGATTATTTTCCTAATTTTATGTAAATATTAATTTCAATGTATTAGAATCCTAAAAATTTTTGATTGTAGCCAAAGCTACATTCAATTTAATATTTCTGAATCAAAAATTTTATAGTATCAAAAACAAAAAATACATTTTGTTTGGGTTCATTAGTATAATTTAAGGGAGAACATTGTAAAAAGAGATCTTACTATGTACATATATATGAAAATTTATGAACTGTTGAGTCATTGTAAAAATAGAAAAGAATCATTTAATAAATATACAAAAAACAATACAATCATTTAATTTTGTATTCAGTTAAATGTGAATTTCTTTTATCTGATACGGGTTTTTTCGATTCTGTTGAACACTTATTGTAACTAACTAACACTTTCGAAAAATAAAAACAAAAAATTTATAATATTTTTGTGCAAGGGGGAAAAGCCTGATAATTATCAGTATCTTTTTGTTTCTTTTTTCCATATATTTTGACATAATCATGAGTTTTACAAGTTATTATGATGAGAGATAGTCTAAATTTTAGTTACATGTGTTGCTGCAAGAAATTTCTTAAAACCATTCTATTTAATGATTTTTTTTCATTTGATTAATGAAGATGACCATAAAAGACATTTTTAATTGAATATTTATGACTATCAAATGATTAAGCAATAATTTTTTTGAATAAAAAAAAAGAAAACAGAAAATTTTTTTTGTAATATAATGAACGTATGAATGAATGTAAGAAAATTAAAAAGTTAGTAAATGAACAGGAAGTTAATTTAATATTTGTAATGTGAAATTAAATGGTAACAATAAAATAAAAGAAAGATTTAAAGAGAAGAACTCTAAGACAGCGAAATGAAATTTTTACTTTTAAACACAATATTCATAAAATTTTTTAAAAGAATGCTTTCTAGTAAGGAATTTGAACGCGAAATTATCTGAACTCATTAATCGTACAAAAATAATAGCATAAAAGCAAACGTTTGATAAAAAATTGTCTCAAACGAAGTTATTTTAAAAATGATTTTATTATTATTTTAGTTAAACTTTTTTTAGTTGAAAAATTTTGAATATAATATTTTTGCATTATAAAAGTATAATGATTTCTATTATGCTATACAAATTCCTTTACAATATTATTATAAATTTTGTATAACAATTAGGTACAAAATTTCATTTTTATATTTTTTTTTATTATAATTAATGATCTGAGTTTTCATTAATGGGAATTTAATTAATTAAATTCAAATAAAATTTAAAATGGAATGTAATATTTTAGATTCTTTTCATTTTTCAACATTTTGTACATATTTAAGTATTAATTATATATTAATTAACTATTTTCTTTTATGTTCGGAATTATGAGAGTGACGATTAAGTTTAAAAAATTTCAAACTAAAAAATTCCTCAAAAAACTACTAGTACATACTGCTAAATTTGCAGCGCTTGAATATATATAGAGCTCCTGTTTGAATCTCTCCTTTTAAAACCATAAATATAAAAAAATTTATTTAAAATTTTCTAAAATGTCTATATTACCTACCTACTTTGAATATTCAAACAATTCAAACCAATTCATTATTTAAAATTTAAAATAAATTTTTACAATCAGAAAATTTTTATCAAGGACATCATGTTGTGTATATCATGCATCCTCTTAAAGTACTTACTTACTAAATTCATTTAATCCTTTTAAAATTTTTTAAAAAAAAAGAAAAAATTTTCCCATGGCAATTTAAATTTTCTTTTAAATGAAAAAAAAAACCACTTACACCTTCTCGACAGGATACCTCATCTTCCTCACTTTTTTTGTGTTCTGTGAGATTTTAATTTTTCTTTAATTATCATAACTTGAGTAGTAACAAGAACTTGAAATATTGTTTTTTTTTTATTTTGAGTAATGTTTTAAATTTTTTTTTGTTAAATTTTAATTGAAAAAAGGCGAAACTGCATTATCTAAAATTTCAATTGATCTAAATATTTTATATTTAATGTTTTCATCTTTTATGCGGTTGTCTTTCCAAATTATTTAGTGTAAGATGCTCGATATAATAAAATATTTTAATGGCACATTTTCGGTTTTCTCACAAGAATGAACAGAAAGCGGCCTTGTTATTTATTATTTTCCTAAAAAGAAAAAATAAATTATAACAGTAAAATGGAATTGAATTGTATAACCGCTGAAATAAAAAAGGATAATAATTAAAACGTGAAAATTTATTTTAAGGTTTTTTTTTCGTAAATCATTGAATTGGAAAAGTTTTCAAATTGTTTGTTGATTTATCCAATTTTTTCTTTTTATGTTTTTTTAATAATTGTGTATAGCTATTCTATTTCCAATTGTCATCATTATCCTTTTATCATTATCCTTTCATAAAAACATTAAAATAATTTACAATCTCAATTTTGTTATTTTGTTTTTTTTGCTATCTTTTTACCTCTTCTAACCATAAACAGTTAACGGATTCTTTTCATCATATTTTCACGTTTCTATTGTTAAAATAAAAAAGGTAGACTTGAGTCCCATATATGAAATTATTCAACCTTTTTTTTATTTACTTTTTACTTTAATTCTCATATTCTTTCTCTTATTATTGTTTTATATTAAGCACATGAAACTTAAAATCTAAAATAAAATGAAATGAAAAGAAGGTGAGTACATCCGTTTTCACCCTATTGAAAATAATGAAATTATTATTTTATATATTTAAAAGTACATTGTATTTTTACTTTTTCGTATTTAACAATATAAAATATAATAATAAACCACGCAGAAAGTACCACGTAACTTAAAAGAAAACAATAAAAGAAAACAGCAAAAAAAAAAAAGACAAATAGAAAACTTAACAATTTCGCAGTTTTGTTGTTAAGTGAATCTTAACAATTCTTGTAGAATAAAAAACGGATGAGATGATAAAGGTGCCTGACTATGTCATTCGATTCTTTTCTGTTTTTTAGTTCCATTTTTCTTTTCTACTTACAAAACGAAAAAAATGTAAGTATAGAAAACATAAGTTTCTAAAGAAAATTTATACTGCTAGGGCAATACCATATAAGTATGCCACAAACACAAAATGAAAGAAAAAAAAGGATATATGAGTACCATATTATAACCACCATAATATGGTAATGTCATATATGAAAAAAAAATGTAAAGAATAAAATGTGAATGAAAAGATGATGAAGATTTTATTTTTACTTTTGTTATCCTTACATAAGATTAATATAGAAAAAAAAGAAATGTGTATTATTCACTCATAAGGACATAATGAAGTAGTCCTTTAAGTGTCATTACACATGATGTTTCTTTTGACTGCATAATATCCTATATTTGCATATGTTAATAAATATGTGAAATGTGTGTAATTGAAATATGCAAAAATCTAAGTATTTTTTGAATTTTTTAATTGAAATACTGAGAAACAAAATATTGTTGCCACTTTTTGTGTAGACTTTTATAGATGAATTCCTGTATGTACAATTGTATTTCAGGTAAAGCTCATGTTTTCAATAATCAGCTGTAAATTATATTTTTTTTTTTCAAATTGCAACGCAGGCAATCCTCATAATCTGTATTTCACAAATGCAATTTCTTCCAAACTTTCCTCATTCTTAAGAACTCAAGTCAGACGCATAACCTAAAACCAAAATCAAAGACAACTTATTAATATTTTTTTATTATTTTAATATAATTTTTATTAGTTTGGCACTTTACTTTTTGATAATAAAAGCATCTACTAAAATGTAGATCTAGTGTCAGTTTTAATTATTCCGTAATATAATTTTAATTTCAAATTGGCGTCGGATCATTGACATTTTGAAAGCATCCAAATTTTTAAATATGCTTTGAACGGTCTATTACTAGAAAGAAAATTTTTTATTCATACAAATTAAGTTGAAAAATCATCTAAATTATTGACTATAATTTTCTATAGCATGCACACTGTTATAAAATTACTATCACGTATTATTACTGTAATAGTATATAACATAAATCTTTCTAAATATCCCTACTTTCATTATAATACGAGAATTGTGTAAATTATTCGAAATTTATTATTCAAATTATGAAAAATATGTGAACATTAACCCAATATTACTTTCCCTCAAAAATGTCAAAAAATGAAAAAAAAAAAAACAGAAAACGTACTAAATAAAGTATTATAAGAACTTGAAAAACGACCTCAAGTTGTTTAATTCCGGCCTGTTTTGATATCCTGATGGGATATAAGTGGTTGGATAAGTAATGCTAATGTTTTTTTCGTGTAATTTATAATAAAAGAGGCTATAAGGATATGATACATGTAATTTTGAAGAGTTCATTTACAAAAAAACAGTAAAAAAATTCTACACTCTTCAAAGATTTTTGTTTTTAGAATCATAGTAAAACCAATAAGGATTTATTAAGTAAATCCTTAACAACAATTTATTGTTTTATATATGTATTCCAAGTACATAATTATTTTATATACGCACATTTTGTATATGATTTGAATTAAATTCACTAAAACCTACTTAACATTATACAATGTACGGATAATAACCATGAATTGATTTTTTTGAGAATTCATATAATACGGTATTAGAGATTGCATATATATTCATGTATGTAAGAGACGATCATATTACTAATTTAATTGTGTATCGAAAACATGTTTTTAACTCGTTTTATTATGCACTTATGTTAAACAAAAATTGTCAATTGCTTTTCAAAAATTTTTATAAAATTTAGGGGTAAATTACTGGTTAATATTAGAACAAGGTGGCTCAGGAGAAGCAATATTAAAACAGTTTGAATAATTTCCTTAATATTAGACCCATTTTTAGTTATACAGGTTAAAGTTATTAAAGTAATGTTTGTATTTATTTTAAATTTTTTTTTGATTTTTTCTTAATGGATTTACCAGATTCTCTATTGTTAGATATAAATTTTACTGTGATAAAACTTTATTCAATAGAATTAATTGAATTTATTCTTTTTTTTTTTTGCTTTCTATTACAACTATGAATGTTCAAAATATATAATGATGGCAAAACCAATTAAATTGTCTTAGTAATTATGATCTGTGAGCAAGGGCTCAAATATAGACCTATATAATTTTTAAATGAAAATATTTCACAAATTCGTATATCCGAAAATTTAAAGGCTTCCGCTGAAATTTTGTCCGCTATTGCAGGAACACCCTATTATGAAGTTACCTAAAAATCATGTTTTTTTTACATTTTGTTACAAAATCACATACTGTGCTGCGAATTTTAATTTACATTCTGGGATGCAATACTTGAAATTTTTTGGATAACTGCGATGAAAAGTAATGAAAATTGATATCATAGAGAGTTGGAAGCAAACTTTGAATAGGCAGTAAGAAATGATTTAATTTTTTTTTTCAAATTTTATTTTTAATCCCTTCAAATCTTTTAATAATTTTAATTAAAAATTTTGCGCACATATTTCATTATTTTAAAAACTTAATACCAAAAGAACTGTGTTTAAGTTTTTATGAAATTTTACCAAAATTGATTAAATTCAATTTTGAAAAATTCGCTTATTCGTCAGAGGCTTGTAGATTATAGATTTGTACAACGGGCTTACAAGCCAGAGGCTTTCAATTAGAAGAAATTTATTTGTAATGTACAAAATTATTGTTATTACTTGCTAATATTTTGGTAAATAAAATATTTTATAGTGCAATATGATTTAAGAATAAGAAACTTACATTGCAGCTTCTTCATGGTTTAACGCTACATTTTTAGAATGTTTCAAATGTAGAGCAATTAATACTTGGTTGCTCTGATATCAGCTTACATCTATGGTTACTAATTCTTTGTTTATGGCCAATGTTTTCTTTACAAGACTAGGAAAATATTACCTTGCCTTTGAGTTTTTTTCTTATTTAATAATTTAAATAAAAAAATATATATTTCAAAATCTAATGCTTAAAATTTTATTTTAATAAAAATGTAACAAAAATATTTTTAAACTGTTTTAAGAATGAGTAAAGAATTTTTTTATAAACCCACACACACACTAGTACAATATAACAAATTTTCATTCAATTCTTGAGCTCTCTAACTTTTAACTAAATCTTTTCCATATCAACAATTATGTCCTTTACAGATGAATAAATATTTAATGTTATAAACATACAAAATATGTTCCATGTTTTTATAATGCTTGAAATATGTGCGTGTGTTTGTATTTGTGTGTGTACTTTATGTGATGATGCATTAAAAACTTTAAATATCTTTTATTTTTACTTGTTTTTTCATTTAATTCATTTAGTGCGCACTCAACCATATTAAGTCCTATCAAAATTCAAAATAAAATAATTTATTTTATTTTTAAAATTCTGAAGAAAATCGTATTATAATGTATCCTTACGCATTACATATACATACGTACGTATTATATATTATTAATGTTGATAAATAGTAATAAGTATGTACATGCTTATATTTACTTATTGATTTTAACCTCTATCGGTATGCATGGGGGCTAAACCTGACATAAGCCTTCAACTGTAATGAGCCGTTTAATTGACTCAATTAGAATTCTAAATTGATTTTGCAAAAACAAAATATCCACCGAATGATATTAACGCTTTTAAAGAAAATCCTCCTGTTTACGAAATACTTTAAAAAATTATAGATAAAATAAAAATTGCCTATTGTGCTCGAACAAATGACATAGAAACTTCAACTTCGCATTGAGGGTTAAGGTGTTCCAATATTTATTTTCCCATATATGCATAGTTAACTATGGTTCCATTTATACAATTCTTCTTGTTTTCACAGTTTCAAAAGAATTACAGTTTCAGGTTATATTTTTTTAAGAGTAGAAGTACCATCATCAACGTTTCATTTTATAGAACTCATAAAAAATTTATTCTAATAAAATTACAAGTAACAAAACAAGAAAAACAAAAATATTCAATTCACCAGGTATGAAGTGCTATTATAAAATAAGGATAACGAAAATAAATACATAAATAAATAGTTGAACTATACAGGGAATTCTATTACAAATTAGAAAAACATGCATTTAACAAGAATTAAAAGAAATATGCACATAAATGTGCACGTATTGTGTATGAAATATATACTTGTATGCCAATATAAGGAATTAAAATATGAAATATGTAGTGAATTTAGTATGTTACAGAATGTACCAATTTGATTTCTTGGAAAATTTTAAACCACTGGTTATAAATTTAGAAATTAAATCGTAATAGAAAAATAGTTTCCGTAAAACAAAACTAATTAAAAAATAGATTGAATTTAGTTTATTTTTAGCCAACTTTACCCAACAGTGTGAGCCTATACTTGAATGTTCAACGAAAAATACACGTATGTAATTACCTATTACATCTACTTGGCCTTAACATTAAAACACATTTTATATTATCGAATTGAAACATTTAGCTCATCTGCTTCATATTAAATTCATCTTATTTATTATAATACATAAAAATCTAAAATAAATTTAACAGGATATTCAATAAAACAGGAAGTTATACATACTATAAAAAATAATATAAAAGTTTTAAGGACTTTTAAAGAAAATTTTATTATTCACAATCCACTTATGAACATGAATAATATCCAATATGTTTCGAAAAAGATCTTATACCTACATAACATTTCGCTATGATAAAATTGAATTCCAATTTTGTTAACAATTGATTGATACATATATCGTATAATATTTAAATTATTATGGTTATGTGGGCATGTACATGTGATTCAAGTTTGCATATAATTTTAATGAATTTGGTATTGTCATGAAAACCCCCTTCATATTATTGTTATTTTATACTAAAATATAACTATCTGACTTTGAAAACACGTTTAATTTAAACTTATATTCTGACTAAACGACATGAACTAGATTGAATTTTGGAACAAATTATGTCAAAGTAATTTTTCCGAACATACTTTTCAAAGTAATTAATTATCTCTAACTTTGGAACTTTTGAACTTATAAGCTTATCCAGTTAATGTTCTCATACTACTCTTCATGTCATTGAAGCTTTGTAAAATGCTTTATTAAAAAAAATTTCTTATAAGATTTTTTCCTATTGGCAATTCCTATATAATTTGGACCCTTAAGCACTAAATTTTATTGTTAAAACACATGCAGTTAAGTAGTCAGAATATTGAGTTAAACAATTTTTAAAAACAGGAATCCAACTTCAATAGCAAAATACAATACAAATGGTTTTCAATTACGTTTGTCTATTTAAAGGGAAACGATACAATCTAGTATAGCTTTTTTTGTTCAATTTTAAATTTTGTAAGGATACTATTTGTGATTTATTTACATATTTCTGAGAAAACGCTTGATAGTTAACTAAGAATAACATTTGAATAGGATAATGTAGGTACCTACCTACATACTTGCATTTTTAGGCGCCATTACATACATACATATATCCATGCATATTACATAAACAATCATACTCACCTATTCCGGTGAGATTGTACGGCTTGTTTGTAATAGCCACTTATTAACTTCATCCACTTCGCTTATATTTCTTTTTATGCCAGCATGGTTTTCTTTTGTTTCCTTTCATTTCAACAACTTCAGTCGTTTTAAAACTAGTTCAGCCCTTCTTACATTTATGAAGTACATATATGTACATATGTATGTACATTACATTCCTATTTGAATTTTCTTTGATATACATATAGACCTTCAATAGCATTATTGACAACTTCAATTAAAATTCATTGTTAAAAATTTAACTTTTCCTTAAATAGGTTAAATTAAATAATATGATTTAAATAATCGCTTCCTGACTCAGCATAATTCAAAATTTATTACTTATTACTCAATTAATTACAAAATGGAGATAAGATATGTTTAATACCAAATAAGGTACTACCGACATTCGACATTGACACTAAAAATATCGATATCTGTATCAAAATAATATCGCAATATTATTGTCAGCAATAACAACTAGATAAAGGTAGTAAAAAATATCGAAATATATTAAGGACACACAGTGAACTTCGAAAGGAATTTACAATAACCCTACCAGATAAAAGAATTTTCACATAATTCGAAAATTTTATTATGTAAATTCAAACAAAAATCTAGATTTCCGGATAGCTACCGGTTTATATATTTTTTAATAAAAACATGAAGCCAGCATAAAGTACACTCCCATATAACGCAGTCTACTTTTACCTCAAATTGACAAAAAATTACATTTTATTGGAAAAGTATTTACAATGCAGTGTTTTTTTTAAGTTTCTATCGTTAGTCATAAAACCTATTTAAATTTTATAACTAAAAAGGGTCAGCTTACTTAGTTAGAGTGCATTCCAATTTCAGTTCCAAACGTTCACACAGAATTTTCATATCATTTTTTGTCTTTTCTACAGGAAACCGGTTATTTCTTTAAATCAAACAATTTTTCTAAAACTTACATACATATGTAATTAAGAACATTTTGCGGACCATTTAAAGAGTTATTTCTTATTTACAATTTCAGTAATTTAACTTGTTTTTCTTGAAATTTGCTCGATCTCTAACACCTTTTCAGTAGACAAATGATTTTTAAATAATGTTACATTATCTATTAAATTTTGGTATGTATGACGAATACTTTTAACATACTCGAATACTAAATTATAAAGTATATAATTCAAAATTATGTACAGTTGGGTTGGGTTTCAGAAGGGCACAAGTTTTTGAGAATTCTATTAAATATAAAAATTAATTTTTTAATACCACATTTTGAATTTGACAACTGGCATCCTTTTCAATGCAAGTTTTGTGTGTTTTGAAATTACTATAAAAACCCTCTTTATTTATTTAATAATACTTCATACTTATGTGTATATATCTTATATGACATATGATTGAAATTCAAATAAAATTATTCACTCACAGTTCTCAAATTATATATTTTATCTTTTAATTTTCATTTAATTTTGTAATCAGATAATATCAAAATTTTGAGGTTCACTTTAAGAGAAAAAATTTACTTACGCATATGTACTTATTCTTGAATTTTTTGACATAACATATCACACATATAAATTTGATTAACTGGTTTGGCAAGTTATCCACCTTTTATGATTTTCATATTTTACTCATGATTTTGATTTTGATTAAATCGGTTGAATCATATATTAAAATTTATGTAATAGAAAAACTTGGATTGCATGCCTAAATTAAAGTAGCAGGAAAATAGCTTTTCAAATAACTTATAAAGTTTGGAATTTGAAATCATTATAAGCATTTTGAAAATTTAAAAACATTTAAATTTTGTTTATTTGTGTAATTGTTCGTGCAGTATGTATTTATTAACCATAGCCAAACGCATAATGAATAATGACTTGCAAACCCTCCCTTAATTTTTTGTTCTCAAATACAGGAAAATTTGTGATGCTATCCACGCATAATTTGAATGTAATTTATTTACGTTTTATAGATTTATATCAAATTTAAAATGATCGCTGGGGCTCTAAATTAATGTAGAAGTGTATACATGTTCATAAAATAGATTATATCATCTTAGAAAGGTATTAATTCATTAAATTCTTGAAAAGGAATAAAAATAAAAATCAGAAGAAAAGAGATTGAGTAACTTAAGAAACAATTTTTATGAATTAAATACTCGGAATAGGTCTCTTGAGAGAATACGTATTGCTATCCTGGAAATACTCTTATTTGTTCATCTATACTCTACAGTACATTCTTGATTTAACGATCACACATAAAGAAAAATTTTATATTAGAACCCTGACACCATATCAGATAATGTTCTAACAAAAATTGACATATACAGCGTATTTTTTAATTCGCAATATATTATATCTTGTTTTACATATAAACTCTTTTTATAACTTGTTTAAATTTTGACAGATAACGATAAATAGTACGATTGTATTTACTTTGGTTCACATAGCATATAAATTAAATTGAATATTGTATTCGATACACGGTATTAACTAATTTGGCTAAGCCTTAATGTTTAAAAATTGTGTCCTTTATTTTGAAAGTATTAATAAAATGACATATTGTAGATTTAATATGAAATATGAAGAAATTACGAGACAAAGTATATCTTCATATGTAAAACCTAAATTTTAATAAAAAAAATGTAAATAATCGATGCATCGAAAAAAAATGTGCTTGAAAAATATTGGTTTTTCTTTTTCAATTTTCACTTAGAAGTTCTTTGAATATTTCCCATCTTTGTTTTATTGCGTGATAATTTAATTTAATTGACCGCCATTTTTTGTGCGTAGTTTGCAGAAGAATTTTTGTGAAAAATGAATATTTCATTAAAATTCTATTTAATAATGGAAAATAATGTATAATAAAGTTACCTGGAGACAATTATGTGAATAACGAAATGATTGAAGTGATTTCATGCCAAAAAATATGCGAAATTTCAGTAGTGTCTAATGTTTAAAATATGGGAATGGACAATTAGGAATTCTTATATGCATATACATAAATTAATACAAATTTTTTCGGAAATATTCATAATTAAAAGGTATGTATTTCATAGAACCTTTTTTAAGGTATTTAATTTTAATTTATTGGTGAGATAATTTCAAAAGATTGTACATACAAATGTATTTTGCTATTGAAAATATACGAAGAAGAAGGAATTTGCGAAGACAATTCACTGTTTAATCACTATGTACGATACGATGTTTTATTTCTTATATAGAATTAGTTTTAATTTTCAAAAAAGTCAAGAACAGCTGATAAAAAAGAGAAGTTTAATTCTTTTGTGTATACAATTATACATATTAATGTAGGTACATTAAAAATTGGATTGCAACAAAATAATTTAATACTGAAGAAAGATAAATGAGATGAATAGAAATTGTGTACTTAATCTTAAGCTGTCACATCAAGGAGTCAATGTTATTACTGTTCTTTCTGGTTTTAGTTGCCTTTATTCCTTTCTATTTTCCAAATAAAAACTATACTTTCTAGTTAACGTTAAATTATTATCTTGAAATGAATTTTTTTTTAATGTCTAATGTAATAATGGTATCATCAGGGGGATGGATTGAATAGAATAGAGTGGAATGTGTATAAAAAAATAAATTAAAGTAAAAAAAAGTGCACATACACATGCATACCAATAAAAGCGTTTACAGAAATAATATTGACTTAAAAGATAGATGAGATATTATGGATCAAAGGACGGAAGATTTACTAACTCTGCTATCTGTAATTTATTCTTTAAGTTTTTTGTTTTTCCTGATTGTTGGTGATAATTCTTTAAGATTAAAAAAAAAGTAAAAAAAAACTTTGAAATTCATTTAATTTTCTTGTGTTTATTCTTATATAGCTTTGAAATATAAGAATAAAGAAAGTTTTTTTGAATGAAAAACATTTGTATAGGTATAATTAGTTTCTGTTTAATTTAATAAATGCTTTGCGATTATAATTACAGACAATATATAAATTAAAGAGAGTGGAAAGGTTAATATATGTTTTAAGTTACGAATAAAGGGAAAAAAGTCTTCGATTGAAAAACTAATTTCAAGGATCTTAAAAAATTTTCCTCGAATAGTGTTTACTAAAATGCTTGTTCAAAAGCTAAAGATTTATAATTTTTTACTTTTGTTTCGAAATTTCTACTATTTATATAAAAATTCTTGAATTGTTTTTAAAATAGGCAATTAAAATGTAATTGATAACAAAAATTATAAACAAAATTTATGTTAAGAAGTTCTTTGAATCGTAACATAATTTTCAAATTTGAAAATGTAGAATTCTCCCATTTTGAAACCATTCGTTTGGTATTCTGGTCGTTCCTACCAATGCCTGCAAATATCAACATTCTACTTCTCCAATGTACGGAAAAACGGAAAACCATGGAAAATTTATTACAAAAAATTAAACCATGGTGGCTTCTCATTTAGCCGAATGTGTATTAAAAATAGCCGAATGTGTATTTTGGTGTGTTTAAGAGCTACGCATATGGAATAATTTGCAAATTCATAATAATTTTAACAGAAGATGTTGAAAAAAAGAAAAAGTAAATTGAAGTAACAACTGAAAACCGGATCTTTCTTGACTTATTACTTTTATATGCATTTGTATGTGTACATCTGTCTGTAGGGACATTTATTAAAACGACTTAATTAAGAATTCATATCACGCATGATTAACATTTTATTGAACATGGAATTGATCCAATTTAAGACATACTAAAATTGGGTTTTAATAACTACTATAAGTTTTGTCGTATTGCAATTTCCATTATAGTAAAGGTAATTAATGCTAGTTGATTTTATAATTAAATAGTGGAATAAATTGTAATGATACGTAGATATTAATAAGAACCATAAGTTCACAAGTTATGTCTATGATTTGATTTTTTAGAATTAGTTAAGAAATTGGTAAATTACTACTTTAGTACATCGTAGTTGTTATACATACATGGATTCTTAAGAATTAGTGCTGTATTAATTGGTCTAAAATGTAAAAACTCTTTATAGGAATAATATGACATATGAAGAACATAATATAACGAAATTATAATTGTAATTTTTGACAAGTTGGGGTATTCTTAACCACTTTGAAAATAGTATGTTTAAATGGTGTATTGACTTCTTCTGATGGTGTTGTACCACCAGGTCAGGTCATCTTAGAATAGTGTATGTTTTTTAGAAAAAGTTTGTATTTGAATTATGTCAAAATAATAACTGTAGTATCAATCTATTGACCTTATTTTGTGTTTCAATCTTTCGTTGAAAAGCAGCTTCCTCCACGCCCTGTTC